GAATAATTTTAGTTTTATAAATACATTAAATAAAATAAATGTTTAAATAAAAGCAATTATATAGTGTTTTAATTATCCTATCCATATTCCTGAATCCTCAGTTCAGAATATAAATTTAACAAAATTTGTATATGTGATGTGGCCCGCGTGAATCTTGCCTGTTGCACCAAATGGCCTGAGTTTTAATTGAGTTTGACACCCCTGGAATAGAGCATATTTAAAGGACAGGGAAAAGATTAGCCTACTTCAAAAAATGTGTTCTTCCTCTTTAAGCTTCTTCATAATAAGAATTCATCTTTTTGGCCTCTTTTCTGTCTAATTTTTAAAGTTTTGTAGGTAATCTACTTTGTATTTAAGACCCAAGATAATTCCTATGAGCTCTTTCTTTCAGCAAGATCAAATTATGCCCTTTTTAAAATTATACCTAAATATACCTGTTCCTTTTAAGCCATGGGTTTTGTCTTTTCATTCAAAGGTGTCACGGTACTAGACTGTAAATTTCACAGATACAAAGATCGTGTACAGTTTGACATTCATTTTTTCTCTAGCACTTGGAAAGGTGCCTATAACATAAAGATATGCTAAATGACTTCTCCAAGCAGTGGCTTTCTCTTCGTGATATCTTCTGTTTCTAAATGTTCCTATATAAAGGAATTCTCTTCACTATTACTTATTTCATGTGACCTAATACTTGTTCCTCTACCCAGTTATTTTAAGCAGATTTAAATTCATTTAGCAAATACTTGTTTATTGAGCACTGACTATATGCCAGACCCTGATGTAGGCACTGGAGTTATAGCAATAAACCATGGTTAAAAACCTCTGTCTAATGGATTGCACACTCTAGTAGACTGGCTAGAACGAGTCCTTGCAGCATTGTGATGGTTATTTCTCATCCTCTAGCTATTTTTTTATGTGACGAGGTGTTTTTCTCACTTACAGGACAAGTTGCTAATTTTGAAGTGGTTGTCATGCCCATGTTATTACATAATGCCTTGTTTCTCAATCAAAACCAGTGTCTGTTAGGCAACTCCAAATAGTCCAAAAGCGTATCCCAAGGAAGAACAAACAAATTCAGATTGCAAAATAGTTTTTCAAAAATTTAAAGAAGTAAAACGTGTGATCAGAATTCATTTATGTCAAACTGAGAGTTTGTTTTTATTATTAAAATAGGCCGTATATTTTAGACCAGTCTAGCTGTGTCTATCTGGCTATTTCTCTAAGTGCTTAGTTAACAATTAGAAGAAGATAATGACATTACAAATGTTCTTGTAGAAAAAAAACTAAGGCTCTAAAAAGCTTACTTTAGTAAATATTGGTGATTTTCTAGCACCTGTCACTGTATTTTAGTTACCGCTTTCCTATGTCTGTTAAAATACAAATTTCTGATCACTGTAGCTTCATAATAGCCTCTACTATGTGAAGAATCTTAGAAATTTGGATGCAGTCACCATGGAGATATAGCTTACTACTCAAGTGTCTGGTTCATTGAATTTTCTGGTTACTTGAGTCTTATTTTACATGGGTTATTTTTCAGACTATGAGAGAATATGATATAGATCATTGAAAGATTATGAAGATGATTAATTTCAACTAACATTTATTAAATGTTTACCATATGCAGGCCTCGTGCTCACTTTACTGGCATTCTCATGTGCCCATAATCCCAGGATATAGTTACTACTATTATCTCCATTTTACAGATGAAGAAACTGGGACTTTAGAGAGGCTGAGTTGACCAGTGCCTCAAGACTGGTGCCCCTGAGCTTTGAACCAAAGGGCCTGCATTCCTAACCACTATAAAGCCTCAAGAATTTGAACATCATTTAGTCTGATCATTTTAAAATGCATTTTAGGTTTTACAGCGCTTTAGGATCATGAATTATTCAGTATATGCAGCCTTACCCCTTCAAATAAAAATGATAACTGAAGTTTATGATTGTTTTGTATAGTGCCACTCATGTGGGTTATTTTTATGCTTACTACAATACATTCGAGAAAATACTGCCAGGGACTAATGAATGTTTTCCGTTTTTTCCCTCTTTGACAGCATTGGATTCAAAGGCTAACAACTTGTCCAGTCTGTCCAAGAAATACCGCCAGGATGCGAAGTACTTGAACATGCGTTCCACTTATGCCAAACTCGCAGCCGTAGCTGTGTTTTTCATCATGTTAATAGTGTACGTGCGATTCTGGTGGCTGTGAAGTAGCGAACGCAGCCACTGACTGGCAAGGGAGAACCTAGAATGTGGCAGGTGTATGTTTTCAGGAAACTGAGCTCACAGAGACGTGCGTTAGAACCCAAGGGGCATTCCCGCCTCTAAAGACCTTGCAAGAAAAGACATATCTTGAAAATGAAAGGTTACACCTCATTTAAAGAAGCTTAACCCTATGTAGAAAGCCTCTTTTTGGGGGCAGAGGCTTTCTCTGGGTGCTAAGCCATATATGTTAGGGAACAGTAGATTGTTTTATTTTGTTTTTTCCCTCCCGGTGTTTTACATTTTCAATACAGCACTGACTGGGGCATTCTCATTCTCTAACAGAGCCATCAGTGAGATTTGGGTTAAACGACCTGTGCACGCAACAGTCTGAGATGCCTTCAGAGAAGGCAGCCCTTTGGGAAGCGTTTTTGACTCTATCTAATCCACATTCCTTTTGTCGGTGACATTTGCAACTTGTCAGTAGTCTGAGTTTTTGACGGCCTTTGACACAAGGCTCCAGTATGTGAAGGGTCATTGTCGTGCTGCAAAGATCTTGTCTGTTGGCCCCTACAGGAAGTTAACCTTTGTTGTTTTCCTTTTATATTTTGCTCATTGCACAATTGCTTTAGGGTTAAATGAATGCTATTAAGATGCCTTGAAATTCTATTATAGCACTCCTTGATTAAGAAGCTAAAATATTTTCTGTCATTTATTCCTTAAAAGATGTAAATTAGTTTGGGACAGTCTCAGTTTTCTTCTTCAGCATCCAGTTTATATTAACTAAAGAGTGGGTATAGCATATGGTTAGCCAGAGGCCCCTGACAGGAGAAGAAAGACTCAGCTCCTAACCACAGTTTGTCCCGCCCCTTTCTCACTCTGCACTCCAGTTTTCCCCACTTTCTTCCTCCTGCCACAATTCACTAACATTTTTTAAATGTTCCTCTGCCCAGTAGTTTCATGTCCCATAAGCACCCTCTCAGGATAGTCTCAAATTTCAAAATGGAGACTATTGAGCTGTGTAGTTAATTAAGTTTTTGCAGAGTGACTGACTATTCAAATAACTAAATACATTTATCTGAGAAAGTCTCTGAGAGCACCTCACACCTGCTTCTGTTTATGTAAGTTCTCTGAGAATGTTCTAGAGATAGAGGACTCATTTACAGTGGCTTCTATTAACCAATAAACGTTCCTATGATTTTTCCCTTTTTTGCTCAGGGATAAGGGGCAAAATTCCCTTTTACCTTCTGAGATAGAATTTTTTTAAATGGGAGAATAGCCCTTTTAGAAATTATCACAAGGGCCTGCACTATAACTTATAACTCCTACATATACTGCAAATATTTCTTTAAATTGTACAGGAAAATTAGCCAACTTCTTCTTAACATCTTCAGAAAGACGTTTAACCAGTGAGTGATTTTCTAACTCTGTGGGGTCATCAAAACTACTGTCCTGATTGCTAATAGAGGGAAAAAAATTCTATTTCCTTATTACAAGGCAAGGAGAAATGCTTATTTTATCCTGATGATTTACAGAATTAGAATAATTTTTTTTTTGCCTTTTCATTTTGAACCCAGATCTGCCCATTGGCATTTTGTGCATGAAATATGAAGTTACTTTTTTATAGAGAATAAGTGCTTTTAAGTCCTAAAAGACTTGTCCCTAAGTAATGATGTTGGTAATAGAAGCCTTTGAAAGGCTGAACACCTAAGTAGAGGCACCATAGCGTTTGGTGCCTCTGTAAGAGTGGAGAGTGGCAGCTCACTGTTAAGAGTTGCATGCTGTAACCACGTGGTCAGCAGTGAAATAAATACTTCTAGAATGTTCCCTTCAGTGTGGTTTTGTTATCCAGTTTAATATCTACACATATCCTAGGTATATTCCTACCTAACCTCAATGGCTTAATGAAAACGAGAAGCGGGTGTACGGGAAGACAAACAAAGGACTAAGAAAGTGGTTTAAGCTTACAATGGGAGAAAAATGAGAGAACAAGACTCATAATACAGCTCCTACTTCTGTTCTTTATTGAAGATAGTGGGAAGGGAGCATGTGACTAGATGACATGTATCAGCCACCAGACAGGCATCTAAACTAGAACGCGGTAAGTACCGTACAGGGTTATAGGGGGCACGTCGAGAAAGAACACCTAATATGGGAAGGAGTGTGGTAAGCAGAGGAGAATGGGGGATTCCAGACAGCCGGTGGCTGTGCAAAGTCAGGAGTTAAAGGAGTGAGGCATATTGGGGTTCTCAATTAGCTTGGGTCAACATTAACTCATAGGGTAAGTGTAGGCATTTGAGACTTGAGAAAGAAAAGCGAGACTGGTCCATTGTCACAAAGGGACTTGTCTGCCATGCTCAGGGGCTTATACTACACTAACGTCCATGGCAAGAGATGGCATCAGATGTATACAGTAAGTCCCTGACTTATGAACAAGTTCCGTTCCAGGAGAACATAAGTCGGATTCGTTCATAAGTCCGACAAAGTGAGTCTTATACGCCTTTGGCACAAATATACAGTGTAAAGCCAATGGTTAAACAATTCATGTTATAAGAACCAGCGACGTCTACCATCTTTTTGCCTCGGTCCAATCTCAATTATTTTCACTTTTTCCATGGTTATTGCTTTGCACTTCCCAGCAGTCCCCTCCACATCCACTGCTTTTCCTCTTGCTTCTGGATATCCTGGGCTCCGATTGAGCACTGTACTACTGTACACTATTGCACTGTACAGTAAGCACACAGCAGCACAACTGTGACAACGTCCGGCAGACACGTGAGCTACTTGCGTGATTTGTTCACATCTACGAATGTTCATAACGAGGTCTGTTTGTATCTGTGAAAGTTCGCAACGCTAATGTTTGTAAGTCGGGGACTTACTGTAGTTTCAAGTGGTCATTCTGGCCCTAGTGTAAAAGATAGAGAGGGATAAGCCTAGAAGTAGGAAGAGGGAACTAAGGAGGCATCAAAGGTAGAATGAGACACAGGAGACAGGTTTCAAGTGCTTTTCAAGAAGGGAGTTATCCGGGCCGGCCAAGTGGCACGTTGGTTAAGAGTTGGCTTGGGACGCCAGCTCTGAGCAACAGGACTCCGGTTCGGATCCCACATGAGGGCCGGTGATGCTGCGCCCTCTACAGCTAAGATGGTGAACAACAGCTCAACCTGGAGCTGGGCTGCCCGTGAGTCGCCTGCGACGGCATAGGCTGCAGCAGAGCTGCAGTGGGCTGCCATAAGCTACCGTGAGTGGCCGGCAGCCGGTGTGAGCTGCCAAGCCGCCGTGAGTGGCCTCCAGTGGCCGGTGACCGATTTGCCTCAGCCGGAAAGAGCGCAATGATCACAATACCAACAAGGGCCAGTGAAGCCACGTGCTCCACAAATAGACTAAAGAACAAAAGGACAGCAACTTGTCTGTTCCCCTTCCCCGATTCCCCAATAAAATCTTTTTAAAAAAAAGGAGTTATCCCAGGTACCAAATAATTGATCTTTACATAATGATTTCTTTGTTAGGAGCTTATTTAATTCTCACATTGACGTTTTCAAGCAAGTACTGTTCAAATCATATGAATGGAGAAAGTTTACAAAGGATACCGCTCTGAGGCACAGAAGAGTTAAGTAATTTGTCCAAAGTTGCAGAGCTAGAAAGTGATGGAGCTAAGGTTTGAACCTAGGCAGTTAGGCTCCAGAACCTGCTTTTCTCCACTATACCACCAAGAGGTCAAAGAAAATGAGTACCAAAAAATGTGTTTTCAACTTAGCAATTAGAAACTTAGTCACACAGGCAGAGGTCATTCCAGAGAAGTGGGGACAGAAGACATCACAATGGGTTGAGGATTGGATGAAGCAAAAATGTAGAATGACCCTTACAAGTAGCTTTTCTGGTGGTTAGAACACTGAATTTCCTAACATGCTTTCATTCAGAAATCTCACAAATGTTAAAAGACAGCAATATTTAGCAAATTGTATATAATATCTGTTTCATTGAAGTGTCTAGCAGTGGTTCTTAAGCTTTTTGGAAAATCTTTGAAAATCTGAGGTTTACCTCAGAAAATCATTGATAGGTACAGGCATATCAAGAATCACGTCATACATATGTCAGGGAATTCAAGAACTCCACAAAGCCTACTCATGACCTAAGCAGTCCATGATCCCCCAATTAAGACCCCTAGATATGTAGAATGTAGAACTCAAAGGTAAGAACCCAGAAGCCTTGAAAAATGTCCAGCTCTGGTGAATTGGAAGAATTAATTCTACAGTTTGAACTAACTTTGTAGATGAGATGCATTCTTGAAAGATTGTGTACAAAAAAAAATTTATCATTTTTCTGTAATACATTTAGGGATCTGGTTGTACAAAAAAAAATTTTGCGGTCTCAGTTCCTCAAAATCCCATTTAAGGATCTTAAATTTTACATTTTCTACTTTTACCAATAGGAAGTCTTGCAAAAGCAAGTTAAGACAAATGGATGATTATTTCTGCGCACACAGTATTTAATAATCCATGTAAAAGAAAACATCTCACAATTCAAATTCCCATCTAATTGGGAGTTTTCATGACAGGGCTTGAATGTTGGTGGCCATAGTTACAGCTTTTTAGTTAGTGTATGTAGCAGGACTGACGGCGCCACTTGGTGGTTTTGGCAGATGGCACAGCAAAAAGGTGAAGAGCAGTGAGTATATAGATGTTCCTACTACAATTGCCCATTAACTGATTGGACCAAAGCGCTTGTAGCATGTGTGACATAGTTTGAAATAGAAAAGGCAAATCGAGTCACATCCTATTCTTATTTATTACAGAGAAGCTGGACCCAACAGTATAAAACTATCGCAAGCAATTTAACCATTCGGTTCTAATAAGGTTTGTTTCAAGGGCTGTCACTGAATGTTTTAGATTAGAAAAACTAGGACATTTGACTCCAAATGCTATCAAGGCGTCCAGTATTTCTTCCTCCCACAACCTCTCATTTATTGAGCACTATGTAATAAGCATTTTACATGGGTTATTGCAATCTTCGTAACCATTTCCCAGCTTGCCCAAGGCCACATAGCAAGTGGAAGTACTTAGGTTCAAATCCGGGACTGTGGACACAGCCAGGACGCCATGCTGTTACTACTCTTGCATAATGTAAACATGTTTGTCTAAGCACCGCCATTTTACTTCGTGCTGTCAAGTTACTAGTTTGCTTTTTTTTCCCCCCCAAAGGTATTTTTTAAACTATTCATTGTATTACTTTTTTTTTTTGGTCATTTCTCCCTATATTTTAATGGTTTTTTGCTTGTGAGTTCGTTTGCCCTTTATTACCCTTGGTTAAAATTTTTCATTTGCTCTCAATGTTAACTCAATGTTTTTACATCGAATTCACTTAAGGTTTAAAATCACAAAGTGATTTTAAAGGTAAACTTCCCTTCCTAGTCCTTTTGCCCATTTTTCTTCCACTTTTCCCCCCTCACTTCTTATATTCCTTTTCACGTTACTTCATTTCTCTAGATGCTGTTTTTGTTGAGTACTTACGGCTTGCTTCTGTAAGCAGGAGTATCAACATCAACTGTTATATTTACTCTTTATTTTTTACCTTAATTTATCTTGCTTTTTATTGATTTTGTAATGCAGCATTCTCTTATTAATCAATGCAACTATGCCCCTGCTTGAAGGAAGTCCTTTATAAAAACTCACACGTGGCAAGAATTCCTCAAGAGCAAGCTCCTCTCGTTTGTCTTCTGTATTTAGGGCTTCAGCTATCGCTTGCATTTTTGATAACTCCAGGATATACCTGTCTATCTTCAAACTTGAGGTGCAGATGCCAGCTTTTTGCTGCTTATTGGATATCTCTTTGACTATTCCACAAATACTTAAGTGCATTGAAAACATCTAATGACCTCCATTCCATCGCTCTCAAAGGTAGGATCCAACCCATGCTTCCCACTCTATTTCAGTTCTTAGGCGTCACCTTGCCGTCCCTTACCTGAGCTACAAGTCATGAACTGCACTTGACTCCCTGTTTCCTCCTTCCACCTCTCAACTGTTAACCAAAATCTGTCCTTAATCACCACCAAAATTGTTTCCCATCCTTCACTCCCTTTCCCTTTGGCCTTAGATTCAAGCTCTCATGAACTTTCACTTGGACTCTTATAATGGCCTCCTTCCTACGTTCCTTACACTGGTCCCTTTTCAACCCAGTTCTACCATGTTAATGACAGACGTTGTCTTAAAGAGCAAATCCCACCCCGTTTTCTATGGTAAAAGATCACATGCTCCAGTCTACCTTCCACAACCTGACCCCTTTGTGCCGTTTCAGACTCACCTGCCACTCTCCACTGCCTTGTTTCAGCCACACTAAATGATTAGCTTTCTCTCACCAGTCAAGCACTTGGCTCATGGGTGCCTTCTCTCCAAAACATCTTTTTGTGTACCTTACCCCTATCTTTTTCACTTTCAGCCTCTTCAAGTTCTGCTCATTTTTCAAAGACAGCTCTACAGTTCCTTTTGTAAAAATCTTCTAACATTCTCACCTCCTCCTTCCCACCAACCTGGGAGACGTTATGGTTTTTTCCATCGCAACTTGTTCATATTTCTAGCATAGAACCTACTGGTTTAAAATAGCTTTCGGTGAGTACTTTTTTGACTCCTTGGCTATATACTGTGTGAGGTCCCTGAGGTAGAGACCAATTGTATATATGTGTCTGAGTCCTTGGTACGCAGTACAATGGCTAGCATGCTTGAGTACTCAGCAAATATTTGCAGAATGAGTACACTGACTTACAAAAACTCATGCACAAGCTTTCTGGGACTGGCCTGTTGTGTAAGTCATGGATATGCACATAATTTGAATG